CGCGCTCGTGGCACGGTGCTCGCTCCTCTCCCCTCGCCCTCTCGCCCCTCTCCCCTCGCCCTCGCGCCCCTCTCCCCTCGCCCTCTCGCCCCTCTCCCCTCGCCCTCTCGCCCCTCTCCCCTCGCGACGGTCGGATTGCCCAGCGTCGGCCCTGCCGAGGCTTCGGTGCCTCACGGCGGCGCCGAGAGCGCTCACTTCTCGCGGACCGGGCCGCAGGTGCAATGCACAGCTCGCGGCTGCGGCTCGGGCGACGCAGGCGGCAGAGGCCGCCGCAGCGGAGGCGAGGGAGGTCGCGCTGGCGGCGGCTGCCGACTCCGCCGCCGCCGAGGCTCGGGCAGCGGCCGCCGAGGCGTCTGCATCCCGCGACCGCGCAGCGTCGGAGGCGGCCGCCGCAGAGGCGGCCGTGGCGGCGGAGGAGGTGAGAGAGAGAGAGCTGGCGGCGGCAGCCGCAGCGGTTGAAGCCGACACTGCGCTTCGCGATGCGGAGACGCGGCTCACCGCGGCCGAGTCGCTTCGGCGGCGGGAGTCGGAGGCTGCCGCCACCGCGGTCGCTGCGGCGGAGGCCGAGGCGGCGGAGAAGGGGCAGGAGCATCAGGCGGAGGCGGCGAGGTGGGCGAAGAAGGTGGAGGAGGCGGAGGCGGCGGCGGAGGCGGCGGCGGCGGCGCTGGCGGTCGCAGAGGAGGCGGCGGCGGCGGCGGCGGCGGAGGCGGCGGCGGCGTTGGCGACTAGAGAGACGGAGGCGGCGGAGGCAGTGGCGCGGGCCAGGTCGGATGAGCTCGCGGCGGACTTGGCGCGCGAGGCGGCAGAAGCGGCGGCGGAGAAGAGACTGGAGCAGCTGAGACGCGCCACGACGGCCGGCGAGGCGGCGGCGGTGCGGGCGGAGAAGGAAGTGGCGGCTCGCTTCGCGTTTGAGCGGCGTGTGGCTTCGCTCACGGCGGCGGTGGAGTCGGCGACGCGCCGAGCTTCGGCCGCTGAGGGGCGCGCGGCGGCGGCGGAAGCTGCTGCGGCACGAGAGGCGTCCCGAGCTAGCGCTTTGGCGGCGGGAGGCAGGTTGCTGCCGGCGACGGCGGCTGATGAGTGGGTGGTTGTGACCGCGGCAGCGGCGGGTGGCGAGCAGAGGGCGGAGGGTGGCGCAGAGGCGGAGGCGGCGGTGGAGGCGGCACGAGACACAGCTTGGCGCTGCGAGGTGCGTATGGCGGAGGCGGCGTGGGAGGCGGCGTCGGCCGAGGCGCTCGAGCTGCGTGGCGCTCTCTCGCGGAGCAGCGCAAAGGCGTCGGCCGCAGAGGCGCTCTGCGAGAGGCGCGGCGCCGAGCTGAGTCGCCTCTCTGCCGCGGCGGACGGGGCGGAGGCAGCCTGGCGCATTCGCAGCGCGCAGGCAGCCACGGAGGGGTCGGAGCGGCGGGCGCTTCAACAGGCCCTAGAAGCGTCTGCTGAAGGCTCGCCCCCCCACCCCCACCCCTGCTAGCCCTGTATAGCTCTCCGCTCCCAGAGCCTCCTGGCGCTTCCTCTCAGGCGCCGAGCGGCTGACTGAGCTGGCCAGGCGGGAGGGGGAGGACGCGAGGCGGCGGCTCGAGGAGGTTGCGACCCGAGGGTGGGAGCTCGCGGGCCGGATGGCGGCGGCGGCAGCTGCAAACGCCGCCCTTTGGGACGAGGGCTCCAGTGGTAGCAATGGTCAGGCTCGCAATGGTTGGCTTCCAGGGCGAGGCACGCCAGGCCTCGATGCCGCTGCGTCGGCGGGGCTTCGAAAGCTGAGGGAAGTACCGGCGTCGACGGTCTCGAGCGCTGCCGTCTCCGAGCGAGGGATGGAGGCGTTGTGGGAGGTGATCGAGGCGGCGGCGGCGCAGCTGCTTGGGGTGGCGGTAGAGGCGGCCGAGGAGCGGTTGCGTGGCGCAGCTTCCATCACGGCAGCATCTGATGTGAGATGCGGGGATTGAGGGCTGGAGGCGTGCTCAGTGTTGGGATGCCTTGCGCAGGCGCTACTCTCCGAGCTCGCGGCGGCGGAGGAGGCGCAGGCGGCCGGCGAGGCCGAGGCACGCACCCTCCGCTCGCGTCTCTCTGTGGCGGCGCTCGCCGCCGCTGCCGAGGGGGAGGTGTCCGCGGCGCTGCGCGCTGACCTCGACCGAGAGCGCGCACGCTTGAAACGCGAGTTTTGCGCCGTCCACTCTGCGCTCGCGGACGAGCAGGCGAGCGCGTGCGCGCTGCAGTTTGAGATGGCCGCGGCTTCGCAGGTCTGTGGCTTGCCCCGTCTCCCGGCTTGTGCACGTAGCACATCCGGCAAGAACTTCGGCTCACAGTTGTCCCGTCTCCGCAGGTTCGAGCTGCCCAGAGGCGCCTTTCGTTCGGTGCAGCGCTGGCGGCTTGCGCTGATCATGCCGTGTGACGCGATGAGGTCACCATCCCAACTAAAAATCACGCATGATGAGCGGCGAGGGTGTGTTCCTTGAGCTTAGTACGTCCGTGTACGTGTACTCAACCTTTGACAATCTCTTTGACTGGCGTCACGAGTGTGGTCTGTAGAGCGAGCCATCACCGTGAGTCGGTGACACCGCGAAAGTCAAACACGAAATAGCGCACACAGACAAAAGTAAAAAGTCCAACTGTCGATGTCTCCCAAGTCCCTCCCTCCCGTGTTCGAGAACACATCGTCCCCTCTCCGACCCGTGCGGGGGGGAAGCTTTGCGCCGAAAGCACGCCCCCCGCCCTCAAATAGGCCTCTACCCCAGCACCTCGCTCGGCGGCGCGCACCACGTGGGCGCCGCGCCGAAGAGGTAGGGGAGCTGCTTGTCCTTGCTGACCGGGCTGCCGTTGAGCCGCTCGTGCAGCTCCTCCCACTCGAGGCGGTTGACCTATGCGAGCCAGGGCCAAAGTGTGAAAACGCGGCGTGGCTGGCAGCGGCAGCGCGGCGCTCGCACGCCTCGAGGAAGGCCTCGGGCGACATGGTGCGGTAAAAGTGCTTTGTCCGCTCGCGGACCTGGTCGGCCGCGAGGCCGCGCATGGTGGTGTCCTTCTCGATGAGCTCCTGAGCGACGGCGATGTACTGCGTCCACTTGCGCAGCGAGACGGGCGTGCGCTTCACGGCGGCCCCCCACAGGATGGAGCCGAGCGCGTCGGGCCGCTCGAAGGCCTGGACGTAGGTGTTTGTGTAGAACTTTGCGTACTCGAGCACAGAGGAGCCGAAGAAGGAGTTGAAGGCCGTCTCGTCGATCTCGGCGTCGGCGAGGTACATCATGTTCTTGTCGAGGTAGTTTGAGTGCATCACCTCGGTCCGGCCGGTGAGCTGCTCGCAAAAGGTCGTGTTGCGCGTGAAGCCGATGCAGCCAACCACCTGCGCGGCGTGGGCGGCGGCGGCGGCGGCGGTGAGGGTGCGAGGATGGGGCGGAGCCCGCAGCGGCGTCGGCGGGCGAAGGGGCAAGGGGAGGGCGCACGATGTCGGCCGGGAGGAAGGAGCCATCCGAGAGGACGCAGCCGCCCTCGACCATCGACTCGAGCGTGCCCACCTTGGTGCACATCTTGCCGAGGTGGTGGGCGACGAACCAGATGTCGCTCACGCTGATGGTGTGGCCGTCGTGCTTCACCTTGCCGGGCCACACCTCGGGCGCCACCGCGCCCGACTTGATGTAGCAGTCGCGCCAGCACTTCATCTGCTTGATGTTTGTGAGCGGGTCGTGGCGGTACTGCTCGTCCCACGGCTTGACGAAGTTGAGGTAGTCGATCATCTTTGGGCAGATGGTGCCGAGGCGGCGCGCGACGACGGTCACGTGCGAGGCGCCGGACTCGAGCGCCGTGCGCACGTTCTCGACGGCGAAGGCGCCCATGCCGAAGACGACGACGCGCTTGCCCTGCCACGAGACGCCGGACAGCGCGTCCGAGGTGCCGTCCGCCATGACGCCGCTGAAGCGGTTCATGCCTGGCACGCGCAGCGGGCGCGGCAGGCCGACGCGGTCGTTGATGGCGAGCACGACGCCGGTCGAGCGGACGACGGCGGCGACGCCCTCGCCGCCGCGCCCGTTGAGGTCCGAGACGACGGTCGTGTAGTCGCCGTTGGTGCCGAGCACCTTTGCGACGCTCACGCGCGTGTAGATGACGTCGGCGAGCGAGTCGCCGAGGGCGGCGATGTCCTTGAGGATCTCGGCCGCGGTCGAGTGGTCGCGGTTGTCCGCCGCCTTGCGCGGGCTCCCCTCGGGCAGCAAGTCCTTGATGTTGTAGCCGCCCTCGGACGAGTTGACCTGCGACGTCGAGTTGGCGTACATGGACCAGATCCCGCCGACGATGGAGCGCTGCTCGAGCACGGCGACCTTGTGGCCGTTCTTCTTGAGGCGCGCGGCCGCCATGAGGCCGAGCAGGCCGGCGCCGATCACCACGACGTCCACCTCCTCGGGGAGCGGCTTGGCGTTGCGGCCGTGCAGCAGCGCGCGCTTGTCGAAGCCCGTGTTTGCGAGCATGGCGGTCGAGATGGCGGTCGCCATCGCGGGCGGCGACCCCTTGACGGCGGTGACGCCGGATTGGTCTCGCCGCGGC